TTTCTATTCAAATTTTCTCTTGAAGTAAAAATTTATAAAAGAAAAATTCCAATAATTTCAATAAACAACCCAAATCAACATAAAAAACATTTAAGTTAATACAAACTTTGAACCTTGAAAATCAGGTATTGATCTACTATTTCCATTTAGGATGTTTGGAAACGTAGTTCCATTGAAACAATGAAATTTCCACCAACGATTTAAAGGTTGATGTTATTCTTCTCGCATCCTCAATGTTTGCAAACCTGAAATTGCATTCGTTAAATGATATCATTTTTTTTAAAATATTAAACATGTCATTGTAAAAGCAAAATAAACTTACATTGAAATGTCGTCCTTCCACTAGGTATTGTACTTGCAGGTAAAATGATTCTACTGTGAAGGGACCCTCTTCGACATTATGGTATCACACTGGATGAACCCACATCGTAAGTTGATGTTTTTGCCTCATGTACTTATTTTTTGTCAACACCAAATGACTCGTGGTTATCAGTATCACTACAAGAAAAACTCGCAACGATTTTTTTTTCGTGATGAGCAATAAACTTTTTTATAGGCATCTACACAAATTAACAGATAAAAAAAATAAAAGATTCCTATTTTTTTTTTTAAAATTCAGCAGCATCTCTCCTATAACTACCTAAAACTCTTAAACATGCAAATACACAATATATATACCACAAACCAGTAGATATTATTCAATTTCTTCAAACAATGTAGCATAATTTAATTTCGTAATTTTTTTTTATTTTCCACTCTATAATATTTTTAACAATAAATTTACAACAAATTATTCTAAATTTACAAATATTCAAAATATTAATTAAAATTAATCCTACACATTTAATTGAAATTGAACAACAAAATTGAAAAAAACAACAACTAAAATTCAACAAAATAATGCAAAAATTATTACACTAACTATTAAAATTCAACACAATTATTTCTAAGTGATAATATTTTTAATCCTAAATTTACAAAAAAATTATTCTAAATGGAATAAATAAAAAATAATAATTAAAATTAATTCTACACATTTAATTGAAATTGAACATCAAATTTGAAACAAAATAACTAAAATTCAACAAAATAATGTAAAAATTATTTCAATAACAACTAAAATTCATGTCATTTGGTAATTTATAAAATTATTAACACAAAATTGAACCCAAAAAATGATTAAAAAAACACAAAAAAAGATGAAAAATATTTACCTTAACAATGTGTTTTATTCCGGCTTTTAATTAAAAAAAAAAAAACATTGTCAGTAAACCCAAAAGGAAAGAAATATAAGAAGAAAAATGAAGAAAGAGAATAAATCTTAAAATAAAAAGATAAAATAATGTTTGATTTCAGGTGAGAAGGAGAGAGAGAAGAGAAATGGCAAGAAACAAGATTATTGCAGAAAAGGAATGAAATGAATCAAGGATTACAGAGACAATTAGAAATGGCAAGAAACATGATGAAACAATTGGCAGATAAGAAGGGGACAAAAAGAACATTAATGGTTGGAGACTGGGTGTATTTAAGGCTGCAACCTTACAGGCAAACAATAGTAGCTTTAAGAAGAAATATGAAGTTGAATCCAAGATATTTTGTTTCATATAAAGTCATTCGGAAGATTGACAAAGTATCCTACAAGCTGTTGTTAACAGCAACAACAATATCCACCTAGTATTCCATGTTTCCTTGTGGAAAAAGAAGATTGGAGATAATGCAGTTGTATCTTCAATAGTTCCAGTAACAGATGAGTCAAACAAGGTGACGGTGAGTCCTATAGAGATTTTGGAACGTAGGATTATGAGGAAAGGAGACAGGGCTGTGGCTGCTGGATTAATTAAATGGTCTAATCTGTTCACCAAAGATGCAACTTGGGAAGATCTTGAAGAGCTTCAGCTGCAATTCCCAGAATCTGACATTCATTCTGGAGGTCATTTTGTGTGGATTATTGGTGTTCTTGGCTATGCTTAGTGGCTTTATAATGAGATATTTGGTGGAGGAACCAATACAAATAAGGCAGGATTTGAATTTCGATTATACAAAGAACAGTCCTGTTCCATTTGTGTCCATAAAACCTTGTGGTGGCGTTGCTTGTGATGCCGAAGATTGTAAAGAGAATATTGGAGATGTCAAGAGCTTGGAGGCTCGGGTTATACCACCTAATCACAAGTTTCAATTCTCTGTTTTGTTGACACTACCAGAGTCACATTATAACAGGAATCTTGGGGTCTTTCAGGTACTTTTTTTCATTAAGCAAGGAAGCTGCAGTGTTAGTAATAATTTTTTTTGTGTGAAACTGTCCTGCATTATAATGCTTTAAGCTTTGCCAGTTTTGTTTGAAATATGTTTTCTAACTGATACTGCCATTTGAGAACTTGGGGGATAATATTAAGCAAAGTAACTTGGACCAGACTGTCGAGGCATTTTGGTTCTCTTGTTAGCATGAAAACCCTTGCTAGCAATATATGAAAGTGAAGGTGGCAGCAACGTACCCTCCATTTTGGCAGAGGAATTGGTGATATTTATTTTTACCTTGTCTTTTAGGAGCCCCTTTCCATTCTGGCATGACCTATAATAAGAAGAGGCTATCTTGTAACAGAATCTTGGAATAATGAGGTCGATCCCGATACACATTACAGAGTCTAACATGTTCTGTTTGTAGAAATGCTGTATAAATTATTCCAAATCATGGCCTGTAGTCAAAACGGCTGATATGATTTCTTTAATCTTTCAGGGTGCTTGTTCTGACTTGCTTCATTGTTCATTTGCATCTGTGTGGACTTTCTCTCTGTTGATGGGAAAACCCTTGCCACCAAAAGCCATCCATGCATTTTAAAATTCAAAAGAGAGCCTATCCGCATTTTATTGAATTTTCTTAAGGTTGCACCTCTTGCTGCTGGCTACGTTTCTGAATCCCAGACTTCGGCGTAGAAGATAAAATGTTTTAGGGAAGGTGACTTTCCTGCTTCCTGCTTGAAGGTGATAATTGAACAACGAGCTGAATACCGGCCTGGAGGTGGTATCCCTGAAATATATGATGCGTCCGTCATATATTCATATGGATTAGCATGGTTTTATTTATGATGGAGATGTTGTTCGCTCTAATATGCTGTAGACCTGTTATTATTCCAAGAGCAAGGCTGAGGGATGTTTCTGGTATCAACAGTACCACTCCAAACAACGTCCCTGCACAGATTTGATACCGAGGTTTCTATACAATTGGATTGTGACGATAAAAGAAAAGTCTAACCTTCAACTGCAGTGCTAAAGTTTTTGTAACATTTTACTCTAGTCAGGCATGCCATCCTAAAATGGTTCCATGAATTCATTGATTTCTCGATCATAATGCACATCTGTATCCATCAGTTGTAGTTTGTAAATATTACATGATGGGGAAGACTTACAGCCCTTTAAACATGACTGGTTCGGTAGGAATTATGCAATACAAAGCTATATCAACAATCCGGTGTGGCTTAGTATAACCTACATGTGTAATCAGTAGCAAATTGATAATGCTGTGTGAAAAGCTAAACAAAGAAAAGTGGCACAAACTGTTGTATTTTGTTCTTAGAGCCGTGGAAATGGTTTCAATAATGAAGTAAACTAGGAAACGTTGAGAGTTCCAAATGCTTAATGCGCATGGGAGACCTTTTCTCGAGCGATTTTAGAATTCTGATTCCAGCGCTCTGCCTGAAAATAAACTGACAGGCATTTATCATGATGTGAACTTCAGTTTTTCTGGACATACTGATTAAATGGCCTTCATAGATTAGTGTGAGCATAGAGATCTTGCTCTTTCCTAGGTGAATTGTGGTCTGGACGACATCTGGTTGCCCAGATTTCGTGTTCTTCGCAACTATACTTCTTGGTCCAGACTCCAGAGCATATGCTGACTTTAGCTCCTAATCTGACAACCATCTTTTTTACAACTTTCTTAAGGATAAAAATCAGGAAAGCATGATTGTCTCAGTACCAAGCTTTGCAGCTATGCCATGTTCTTGAGGTATAGGGAACCCAGAAACTGCTGCTGGAGAATTGCATTTGGTCAGTGCATGATTGTTTCAGGACCAATTGGCTGCTTACTGATTCGTAAACAAAAGCATCTTATAAGAGCATCTCAGCCAACATTTGTTATTCGGACAGCCTGGAGCAATTCCATTGCTCTGAACTATCCCTAAATATCCTTCTCTAGAATTTAATCTTCAAATTTAAAGATGCTCTCATTAGGGAATATGGAGAACTCTAACTACAGTACCACTACAGTACCGAGCTGCTTGCATCATATATTATTTGAAATCCATGACCCTCCAATGACATCAATGAATCTTTTTTTTTTTACTTTGAACTCTTTGGCAATGCCTTCTGAATATATATAAAAACAGTTCTTATAAAAAAAAATCGTTATCTTGGTTAATTTTATATAACTTGATGAACTCGATAGGTGTAAAGATGATATCATTGCAAAAAAATATAATATGGTTTGACTGAAATAAATTTTAAGAAGATATTCTTAAATAATATTAAGATAAAAATATATTAAATCAATTCTAAATTGACTCATAAAATTAAAAAGAAAAGTCAATTAAAAAAACTAAAACAATTTTAAATTAATTTATCAAATCCATATCTAATTTTTAATAAAATTAATATTAAAAAATAAAATAAAAAAATTTGAATTAATCAAAATTAATATGTCAAATCTACTATTGCAATCATGATAATTTGATAAAATAAAAATTAGCACATATTATCACATAATATTAAAAAAAATTAAAAAAAAATCAAAGTTGAATAATTCCTCGTGAGGAGAAATGAATTAACTGTCATTTAGTTTTTATTAAAGTAATGACACGACAAAGAGAAGTGATGTGGCAAGGCAGGGGGCGGGGGTCTGATTTGAGCCATTACGTGTCCTCGTGGATAGGGTTCAAAATATGGGTGCTTGACTGTCCATGGCGGCAGGCGGCAGGCGGCAGCCCAAGAGATCACCTCTTGTGAGCCAACCGTCGTAAAACAAGCCTCGTGCCATATACTGACGATCAAACGTGAAATATTTCTCACGTCTAAAAGTAAACAAGAGCCATGTGTTCGGATAACAAGAACAATTAAACATTTACTTCGTCTAAAAGTATTAAGTTTAGAAATCATGAATCTTGTGATCGGATAGCGAGGTTCTTATCCATTTGCAGAGGATGTGGCAATTCCTTTCTCTACCTCCTGCGCCATAGGATTATACCAAGGAGGCACGTCTCTCGTGGTCTCCCATCTTTATCTTATGAATAACTATTAATTCTTTTTCTTATTAACTTTTTTTTTTTTTGGTGGTTTCACATGTTGCTTAAAGACTCGCCACCACCTTCTTTGGTTTCGTTGACAAAAACAACACTCACTGAAAGTTTCAATTTCAACACAGTGGTGGAAGCGAAGGCGAAAGCCAAGGCTAAGGCTTGATTTTTGCAAGATAAATAATGTGAGATGCGGTTCTTGATTTTTACGGGATCTTTTGAGGTGGTTGGCGAAGCGGATTTGTGGCGGGACGACGCTGATCTGTTTGGCCGCTGCTGTTGGTTCTTGATCATTGGAGATGGGGCTAGGATTTGAGTCCAGTTCTCATAGATCTACCTAAGGAATTCTGGAGTTGTGGGAGCATTATGTTGAGGAATTAGAGGATAATACATGAATTGATTTTTGTATTGGCTTGCCTTTTATTTTAGATTTTTGTACTAGCTCGATGAGATTTAGCAATAATTGGTACTTAGCTTTTAGAGAGTTTTTTTTAATTAATGTTGCGTTATGATAAATTTACATATATTTTAATTAATTTTATATATTTAAAGTTAATTATTATATAAATTTTTAATTGTTCTGGGAAGCTAAACTCATAATTATTAGATAATAAATTTAAAATTTAATTAATTAAATTAAGTTTCAGAATTTTTTTAAAAGTTTTATTTGGATATTATTTTCATTATATTTTAACTTCAGCTATTTTTTAACCTTAAATAAAAAATGGGAGTAAACTTATAATTTTTATAGTTTTTTAGGATATTGAGTATAATCATGCTAATTTTTTAAAATTCAATAAACAAATATTGATCAAACGTTACTTTCACTGCCGGTCACATGAAAGCAAAATCTAGAACACCAATCGGACCCTCTCAAAACTTTTATGAATGTAAAATCTTAACACAAAATTTGATCCATGACAATTTTTGTTTTTTTTTCTTTTTTAAAAAAGAAAATGGAATGCAAATTCTCAAAAGAAATGGAAATTGGGTACATAATTGCATCCTGGATTTCTATAGATGGTGACTAAATTTGGAGAAATTACCCTCTACATTTTGTGACATGATTAATGCCAGCCAGGTTTGGAAGATTGGATCCATTCACAGACGACAAAGAAAGAAGAGACAAAATTAATGAAACTTTTTCCTTCTCATTAAGCTTAATTAAAAAAAAGGAATTCCCTTTGTTTAAGGTTTTGAGTTACATGCCATCACTTGGAAAACAGGGTAGCCATATAAAATAAAGGAAAAAAAACATCAAATTCCACAGTCTCAGTCTCAAGATCTTTCTTTGCCATTCAGGAACGACGCACTCTTGGTGATCTCCCGCAGAGGTTTATCGGTGTACCTCATCAAATTATACACCCATGCGCCGGCCTGAGCTCCAAGGATGGGCGACACGATGTAAATCCATAGGCCCTTGTATTGATGGGACACAATTGCAGGTCCCAAGCTTCTTGCAGGATTCATTGACGCTCCTGAAATTGGCCTGTAAAACAGTTGACGAAAATATTTGAAAATCCTCTCTAGTCGAAGCCACAAATGGGGATTTTGGATTTAGCAAGGATATGAAATCACGCTTCCTCCGTAGTATATTTTTTGTCTAATCGGTCACGACAAGTGCCAGTATAAAATATTATGTTCTTGTTGAATATTCAGCTGCATTAAGTCATCTATTTCATCACCATGATATGATTTAGGCAACATTGACAATTAATCCTGTGAATTGTTCCTGATAGAGATAAATGGATTAGATTAATACCCTGCAAACATCACATTAAGCAGCACGGTTGAACCTACAGCAAGTCCAGCTAGTTCGCCAATCTACATGAACAACGAAACAAGAAGGGGAATGACAAGAAAAAATTATTCCAAATCACTGTCAGCACAAACGGTAGCATATAATTTAAATGTCGTGAGACACACAATGCAACTTGATTAATCATATAATAGAATACCAGAGGTTCGGGTGCGAACTATTTTCTCAATCATACGGTTGTTGCTTTGTATGACCTGAATTAAGAATCAACGATTGGGATGAGAATAGGAACTTACAGCTCTGTTATCAGTGGCGACGCCGGAAATGATGAACATGAGGTAGAATGTGATTATAAACTCGACAACAAAGGATTGCAGATTGGATCCCGCTGGCAATGTTCCTGTGAAGTGATCTTGATCGCCCTGAAAAAGTAATCGGATTGTTCCGGCTGCTAGAGTTGATCCGATGACTTGACATGCTACGTAAGCCGGAACCTTAAGAAAACAAAATAATGGCTCAACGAGCTTGAAAAACCGGGTAATGTAACATTTTTTTATTGAGAGGATGGTTATGATTCATTAAACCGAGTTAATAATCATTTCTTAGTAGTAATCAACAGCTCAACAACCCAGTAATCAATTTGTGACAAAACTTGGATATTGAGACAAACCGGACCTTTTGGTACGGTTCTCGTTCTTGGTAGCGACAATTGCCAAAACAGCAAGTGGTTTTTTTTTTTTTAAGGGAAAATAAAGAGAGAAAACCATTGTTAACGTCAAGATTTCTGACACCTCTAGGTTTGTTTTGTGTAGTGTACCTAATTTCAACGAGGTAGATACAATGGTTTTACCTGTTTCCATGGAAATCTCTTGCAAGTGGCAAAGGCAAGGGTGACAGCAGGGTTGAAATGGGCACCAGAGATATGACCAACAGAGTAAACCAAGACCATCACAGCTAGCCCCCAAGTTAATGATATCCCTGGAAGTGTCACAACCTTGTCGAAGTTCAAATTCACGGCCACCGACGAGCAACCGGCAAATATCAAGAAGTATGTTCCGGCTATCTCAGCTAGCAACTGCACACGTTAATTAGCTCATCAACATCAATCTCAAATAAAAAAGAAGGAAAAACCATTTGTCTGATAAATTCCAAGACATGATGATGATCTTTCTGGACGGAAATGTATGCCAAGAACACCTTGATTCCTTATTCCTGATGTAGAGTAAATTAATTAAGAGGAAGCAAACTGAGGGTATGCAATTGGTGTGTAATCTTGAAAATCAAATAATAGTAGGAAATATGGGTATTAAAGAAAAGGGAAAACATTCTGGTTCAGGGCTTGATCATATGGCAAGGAGAAAACACAGGCACAGAAAGAAGATAGATGTTACAGCACCTTTTGCATGAAAGGCACAGAGAAATTCAAGACAGAGACTTCCTTGATGGAGCTAGATGAAGGATAATTATCTTTAATATCCAAAACAACTCCTTCATGGTTTCCATTGCCATTAGTCTCGTTGATCTCATCCATTACCACGAATACTTACCACTAGAAAGACAGCTAAGAATGAAAAGGGAGGAAAGATAAGAACAAGAAAGAGATGCAAGAAGTGACAAATATGCGCCAAGATATTGTCTTTGTAGTACCTTTGTTCTTCTCCTATGGAGTCTATATAGCAAGTTCAAGCTACTAGAAATTTCTTAGTTACAGAGGCTTAAAAAGACACAGAAGCAAGGGGGAGAAAACAATTGTTAACTCCAGTTTTCATTACGATGTTTTATATAAGAAAAAAGAAAAGAAAAGGATTGACCATGACAACTCTTTTTTAACGTAATTGCGGCCCTTTATGCTCTACTTGTAGGATTATTTAGCTCCAGATCACTGTACATCAATTTTATTTGGAGGTGTATATGACGTTGAAAAATGCGACCTTCGCATTGAAAGCTCCTTCAACAACCCACCGGAAATACAGAGAAGGCATGAAGGAACATCATGATCATTACAAGGTCCAAGGGCACCTTCAACATTAGAGAGAGAGAGAGAGAGAGAGCTATTTTTTTAGCTTTTCTTCTGTGATTTTTTTATCAAAGAAAAGTCATTTTCATGTATATATATATATATATATATATAAAACAAATATTAAAATATAGGATCATTCCTTTTTCAATTAAACTTTTTTTCAACAGAAAAATTACAAGAATTTATATTAAATAATACAAATGGATTGTCAACTCTCTCTTTTTTTCTGCATATAAAAAAATATTTACATTATTTAAAAAAACTAATCTACAATTTGACTACTCTAAACGAGTTTTGCCATTAAAAAAGCTTTTACAATATGGATAGAGAATAAACTTGATTTGAGATTAAGTTGTGAGTTTAATAAATTAATTTGGAAGACAGATCAACCCAATAATCTCTGAGAAATTTGTCTGATTTAGCGGTAGGATTGCTTCTTTTTTCTTCTTTTTTTCAAGAGGAGAAGTACAAAATCAAAGTTAAAAATGGATAAAAGCTTTTAAAAAATTACCAACACTTAAAAAGTCTCCGGCATCATCATATGACTTCTTCAAATTTCGACCACCACCATCACAGCAACATCTATCATCTCACCAGAATTAATTGATATAGTTATATCGTCACCTTGTTACCTCCATAATCATTATTACAACTTTGTATTATAACAATTATTATCATTACTTCATTATCAATATTATTATAATTGTAAAATACTATGCATATATCATTTGATGAGAGAAGTTTTGTATTCTATATAGATGTTTTTTTAACCTTAAAATTGCATAAAAAAACAAATTTAAGCCAATAAAATTTTTTATTTCAAATTGATTTTGGATTTTAAAGTGGATATATATATCTTTGAGGACATTTATAGGTTAATAAAGGTGTTTAAGCTCTTTTCTATATGTTTTGGTTGAAAATAAAGTTTTAGATAAAATAAAAAAAAACATATATTCTACTTTTCTAGTAATCACATTGGCTAGAATCTGGAGAATTTCGGATGACGTGTCGTGTGGAATATTTTTTTAAAAAAATATTAGGATAGATAAAATGTTGTTTATCTTAATTATATTTAAAAAAACAAAAAGGGTACACCTACTGGCTCTTTCTAATGGGCGAGACATTGGTCTAACCTTTTTTTATATATATACTTTTTTTTTTTGAAAACAAATCATGTTTTCTTATGTGTTTTTTAAAATAATTTTTTAAGTTATATATATCAATTAATACTCATTATCTATGATTTTTATTTTTAATATTTAGATATTTTTAAATAGTGGTTGTTTTTTTAATTTTTTTTTATGTATTTAGTTTTTTAAGAGATTATTCTAATTCATCTATAATATTTTTATATCTTATGTAATTGAACTTTATTTTTAAAAAATAAAAATTATTTATTTTTAGATGGTATTTCTAATAAGTGCAACATTGTGAGATATTTTATTTTCTATTTGATTTTATTCAATCAATTTTATATGTATATTTATTTCCATTAGCATTTTATTAAATAAAATATTAAATTAAATCAACATACTCATTGAACATAATCGAATAAATAATCAATTCGAGTCTAAGAAAACATAGAGAAATGATTGATAAGACCTACTCTGGTTAAAAACTCAAATCAACCTATAACCTAGTCAACCTGAAATAAAACACGGGTAAAATATTCATTGAGTTTTTTTGAATT